CAGTAAATCATAGAATTAATCAAAATTTAATATACTTAGAATAAAAAATATTATAGTTGAATTCAGATAAAAGAATGTAATCTAATATATCCAAATAATAACAGTAAAATCGACTATAAAATAATAAAATTGACTAGATATAATATTTCTAAAATAATATGTCTAATTAAAGTAAAATAATATTATTAATATAAATCATGTATGCAAATTATAAATTAATTGAAAATTAAAAATAAATAGTAATCAATTATTATAGTATATTTATTTAATAAATATTTATACCCGTGTATGAGCACGGGAAAATTACCTAGTATGAGGTGTATTTAGGGACAATCCCACCAATTTCTGTAATTTATTTCCTGGGTGACGTTTGTGTGGTCTACATGAGGATATAAAAGATATGCGGCTGAATAGTTAATTACTTTTTTTTTAATTGAATAAGATTTCATGTTGTAGCAGTGTGAGTAAGCTTCTTTCACAAGGTTATTAAATTGCGGTCGGGTCATGCTTGTCGATGAACACTGTCGTTAATTATAAGCTCTTATATGTAATTATGTTTTGATTTATTTTACTATGGTGGTGATCATTTGTTTTTATGTGACTGTCCCTTACATTGTTATAGTAGTTTGCAATTTTTTAATTTTAACAAATATAAGAAATATGGAGAAAATCGTTGTTCTGATACTGGACCAAATCGTTGTTCTAATACTGGACGTCTGCACCCACGTGGTCTATATTCTAGGCATCTAGGTTTTAGTTTTAAAAAAATCTGAACAAAGACAACTAAGAACATAGATATATAATAATACAATTTTATAAGTTTTACAATACCCTAAATAATATAACAGATAGCAAATTTATAGCAAATGGAGTAGAAAGTGCACAGTTTTATTTTCTGTTTTATGATAAAATTTAGGATTGAAATTGTCATTCAATGTATTTTATATTCCCTCTGTTCCAAAATAATACATGTTCTAGACTTTTTACAAATATTAAAAAATTCATTTAATTTTGATTGTAAATGCATTGTTTTTTTGTGAGTAACAATTTTCCATAACTTTTAACCAATAAAAACTCAATAAACATCATTATTTTTTTTTGAAACTTACAATTTTTCATTAAATCATTCATTGAAAAAGTAAAAAATGCATCTTTTTGAAACAAATTTTTTTTCTATAATATATATCTTTTAGGAACGGAAGGAGTACTACACTGTAATTATGTTAGTAGATTTAATTTTTTCTAGTTAAAAGTTAAAAAATTAATTATTGGCGTTAATTTCTGTTTCACTTCGAGTTAACATCAAATGTAACCACATAAATTAAATAATATCGCTCATTTCACATGGAAAATAAGTTTTTACTTGCCTTCAACTCGAATATTCTATTTTTTGTCAGAAACATAAACAGTATTTTGAAAATAAAAATTGGAAATTTTATGTTCATGTTAACGCGAACATTCCATTTTAATAGTTATTTTTTCATGTTGGTTTTTGAGTTGCAGCTTATTGAATTTAGATTACTGGACCAAAAATTAACTTCAACATCAATAACTTGTGTAGTTGTTACATATTCTATTCTACAATACATATAGTTTACTTTAACTATAAATATTAGTTTCTCAAGTTTTTCTTAGTTTATTTGTTAGGCCGAGTACTACCATTTTTGAATTTCAATATGATATAAACAGATTTTCCATTTATATATCAGATCTCAAGACTTTTAATGGTTGTATATTTGTATACTATATACTCTCATTTAAATTCTTGTATATAGATAACATGAATATGTGCGTTATGATTACTTATCCAGTTAATTTATACTGTAGACTGTAGTACATCTTGAGCTTTAAGAAACAATCGATGTCGCTTGGTAAAATATGATGATTAAAACGTATTAGTATAACTTTTTTAAGACAAATTGGTGGGTTAAATTCGCATTCCGATGATTCACACATATCAGATAAACAAAGTTTATTAATTAAAGGTATATATGTACACCGCAATCGAGGGATGACCCTAACAGTCTGAAAATTGCATACATATATAAAACACACATATATTAGAAGTATATTTTATCTAAAATTAGTGTGTAAAACAGTGGTAAGCTGTTGTCAAAAAAAGAAAATAGTGGTAATTTGTTTCCAATAGCTTAAGCTTATATCGTTTAGTGGGTGGGTCCAAAATTGTTTAAAACTCGTGAAGCCAAGTAATCTAGATAATCATGAAATCTGTCTTTTAAGTTTATTAAACCTGAATTTTTGTTCACAATGCCATTACAAGAAAAGTTTAAGGTTGCCCCTCGGAGAAGACCTCATCATTGTTAATTTTCTTTTTCAAACTCTTTTATTTCAGTCACCTGCGGATTTAAAGTGTCCTTTTATCTTTGTTGTTTTCTGGGTGTCATTGTTTTTTATTTTCTTTTCTTTAGCCAAATAATTTCTAAACTTTTGTTTTAAATACATAACACCTTTATATACCTCATAGTTATTACTTAAAAAGTGTTGGGCCTTAACTCTTAGAAAAGAAAGTGGGCTTAATCAATTTATCTTTTTGAGTTTCTTCGCTAACCTTTCAAAATAAATGTCTTCTCCAAATTTTCTCAAAGATGTATGTCTAAGTGAACATAAAACTAAAAACCTAATTGCTAGAGGAGTGTGCACTCACTGTTTTGGCTGATTCATGGGAGCCATTGGGTCAGGGACTGGAATCTTACTGGGTGTGACTATCATATATCAGTACTTTGAAACCTTTGAGAAGGAAAAAGGCCAGCGAGCTCAGCGTCTCTGGCTTCCGAATGAGTCAGAGTCCTATAGTACTAATTTTATTGAGATTATTGAGAAAGAGTCTCTTCTGTATCCACTTGAAAAATAAATCATTAAGAAACATTAAATCATCTCTAAAGATTCCATTTAAATCAGGCAAAAAGATGTGGGAACTATGAAGATTGTGTTTTCCCGCCAAATCCAAAAAATCTCGTTTTCCCGCCAAATCTCGTTTTCCCTAAAAACCGAAAAATCTCGTTTTCCCGCCAAATCCAAAAATCTCGTTTTCCCGCCAAAATCACAAAATCTCGTTTTCCCGCCAAAATCACAAAATCTCGTTTTCCCTAAAAACCAAAAAATCTCGTTTTCCCGCCAAATCCAAAAAATTTCGTTTTTCCGCCAAAACAGCAAAAATGCATTTTCCCGCATTGTTGGAGGTTGATTTAGTTTAAAGAGTGATTTAGTGAACTACCCATATTTGAAGTTCAAATTAGCAAAATACCATTGATTGGACATGAAGGAGACTGACACAACCATTTGACAAGGAAATGCCGAAAATGCACTTTCTCTTTCCTCTCATTAACACGGAACGTAAAGACATTTGTTAACATATAACACTTCTGTTAACGTCTACAATATTTGTTAACAGCCAACACATTTATTACCGCGAAGCGTAAAAATAATTGTCAAGAGTTAACACTTCTGTTAACGTCTACAATATTTGTTAACAGCGAACACATTTATTAACGCGAAGCGTAAAAATAATTGTTAACAACTAACACTTCTGTTAACGTCTACAATATTTGTTAACCGCTAACACGACGTCGAATCTAAAACCCAGAAAATTGATATCATCAAAAAATTGAGAATTCAAAGCCACTTATGAAAAAAATGATGAAATTTAAAATTTAATTGTATATAGAATGATAGAGATTTGTAAAATAATTAGGGATTGGAGAGAAAAAATGTCAAAATTGAGGATTCAAAGCCACTTATGAAAAAATAATGAAATTTAAAATTTAATTGTATATAGAATGATAGAGATTTGTAAAATAATTATGGATTAAAGAGAACAAAAAAAAGAGTAAAGATGTCAAAGAGAAGAGAGAGAATGTAGAGAAGGGCAAAATGGTTCAAAGGAAAGTGATTGTCACATCATGGACAATTCTCTAATTATAGGTGCCAAATAAGACACTTTAGCCAATTATCTCTAGTTTAAATATATTTTAAACTAAATAATATTAATTAGTATAGTTATAATTAATAGCAAAGATATAATTAAATCAAAACAAAGGTATATATGTAATTTGTTTATTAAACTCATTTGAATGGAAATAAAAAAAAAAGAAACAAACATGAAATTCATTCAAATGGTTCATTTAGATGATTCATCTAGATGGAAAAATGAACAATCCCTAAAATCTGGATGGATCATTTAGATAGATCAGCTGAATGGAGATTATAAATGGAGAAACGAACAGCCCTTAACTCGTCACAATGACAAAACCTATTCAAACGTGCTATTGACCCGGTTAAGCTAAACCGACCGAGACAGATGATAAAACCAACAATTGAATTTTTAAACAGACAAAAAAAAAATCGTAGGGTTTTAGAAAAGAGCTTTCTCTTCTCCTCCTCCGTCATCGTCGTTGCAGCCAATTACGCGCGGCAAAAAGAAATGCCTCGAGTCATCACCAACGAGACTTACGGTTGCCCACCGATCCGTGCTTTAACCTTTGACTCTCTCGGCTTAATCAAAGGTTCCAACTTTTCCTTAACCTAAAGCTCTTAAATCGAAACTGTATTGAAAGCTATTTTTTTTTCCAATTCGATGTTGCAGTTATTGAAGCTCGTGGTAAAGAGAGAGGGACTCCGAATGTAGTCAACACATGGGGTGAGATGAATGCTTCAAAATGCGTTCTCGCCTCTTCTATTGATGATAGGCCAAGTAACCCTGTAAGAAAGTTTCATCCTTTTTTTATGTTTATGTAAGCCAAGGTTTGGTTTAGTTGAAAAGCTTATCACTTTTGTGTTTGTTTTTAATTGCAGCTTTTGGCTGTGGCAAGAAAAGATGGCAATGTAAGTGTTCATTACTCTACTTGAAGTGTGATTGGTTGCTTATCTGCTAATGTTTATGTTTTTTACATAGGTTGAGATTCTTAATCCTTGTAATGGTGATCTTCACTTTGCATACTCTGTGTTTGGTGATGATCGTTGTTCACCTGAGGATGACGAAGTCTCTGGCTTGCACTTATTCAGAAAACAAAAAGATGATCAGGCAGAAAGGTATATATAACTTAGCACTGGAGCTGTTTTTAGACCATTACTAGGGAGTTTTGTTATGACATTAACGTTTCTTTTGTTTAGATCTTGCACATTGCTTACATGCACGAAGAAGGGAGATGTGAGTCTTAGAACAGTTAAGTTTCCCGACGCACGTGCTGATTCTAGTGATGACGATGCTCACAAGACTTGGAAAGCATGTGGTTCTGGTGAAGTGTTGGTTGGTAAAGTGGATGGGAGTGAAAATTTCGGCTTGTTTGGAGGGTTAGTTGTTAAGAACTGAATTGATTTTTTTTTTAGTTTATCTCTCGGTTTGGTTGTTACCATATTGAGATGAATTTTCTAATGCAGGAAACGTGTTGAAGTCAATATATGGGATCTTGAACAATGTACTAAGATCTGGAGCGCCAAATCAGTGAGTTTCTTATACTCAGTTTTTATCACTTCAGTTGAGACATGATTAGATTAATTGATTTCAACAAAATGATTCCCCCCAGAAATCAAACCTTCAGTTTCCTCTTTAATGTCTCATAACCAATCTCTGTTTGGTGCAGCCTCCTAAAGATAATTTTGGGATCTTCATACCAACTTGGTTTACTTGTGCTGCGTTCTTGAGCAATGATGATCACCGTAAATTTGCCACTGGAACCAAGTCTCATCAGGTTAAAACCCTAAGTTTCTTTTCTACTGCCACAAGATTTACAATCGTTTTGTCCAGATTACTCACTTTTTTTTTCTGGAGACAGGTTCGTCTTTATGATGTTTCTGCTCAACGACGAGCGGTCCTGTCTTTTGATTTCCATGAGACGGCTATTACAGCAATCTCTGAAGATCCAGATGGTCATACTATCTATGTTGGGAATGCTTCTGCTGACCTCGCTGCCTTTGATATACGAACAGGTTCATTGATTGGTTTTGCAATAGTATCATCAGCATTGTTGCTGTATCAAACAACTAATCACTCATCTACGTTGCAGGAAAGTTGTTAGGAAACTTTTTAGGAAAGTGTTCTGGAAGCATAAGATCTGTTGTTAGACATCCACATCAACCAGTGATAGCTTCTTGCGGTAAGATTCATTGCATTGTCCACATAACTTAAAAAACTTATATGCATTTCAACAAATCTCATGTGTGTTCTTATATTGAACTGTTCAGGGCTGGACAGATATTTACGGGTCTATGACGTGAAGACACGCCAGCTCATCTCTGCGGTACACTCTTCGACATGGAGACTGATGTTCTTTTGCGAGGTAGAGTTCAAAAAAAGGTCTTATTCACTCATCATTTTTGTTATTGCAGGTTTTCTTGAAGCAGCATCTTACAGGTCTTGTATTGGACACAGGCTTTAGTGGAGAAGGTTGGTTTTCTTTTTACCGTTTACATATCACATATGTTCATGTATTCCTATGTTAGTACGTTTGTAAGATGATTGGTTTATTATTGTGGAAGCAGAGATAGCTGTAGCAAACACAGTGGTCGAGGCTGAAACAGAAGAGAATATGACGATCATGGAGCATGAAGATGAGGAGGAAGAGAATGAAGATGAAGCAGAGGAGGCTCCTGTGAAGAAAAAGAAGTCAAAGAAAGAGAAACGTAGTAGAGAAAAAGTCTCCAAGGGTGAAGAGATAGACGAGGTAAGAAGCAAGAAGACACGAGAGCACAAAAAGAAAACCAAGAAAGTAAAACACACTCAAGAAGACTAGTTTTAAGTTTTTTTCTCAAAGACATTGTACTTTGCTCTTCTAATCTGAGCTACAGTTTTGAACAAAGACTACAAAAGATAAACAGTGTTTCGCTCTTCAGATTTTTGTCTGTTCTACCAGAAGGACTTGAGAGTTTTGATTTTATCCTCAACGTGAAAGTTACAAACTTACAATGTTCATTCAAAGGCTAAAAGCACATCTTAAACAACAATTCTGCATTGTTCGACTCGTTGTTAGATTGTAACCATGTCACTGTTTTTTCGTTTCTCTAGTGTCGCCATCGTTGTAACTTCCTGGATTATGTGACACTGTTGCAAAATTTGTGTGGTTCTGCTCAAGCAGGAAGCTTGAGTTTGGTGTTGGTTTTCCAGCTACAATGAAACACAGAAGGATCCAAAGTCAGTACGTGATAAGTGGCTATTAAAGTTTTAGAGAATGCTCAGACGGATGAGGTCTCTTTACCTTAGGTAGTAGTAGTAGAAGAAATCAGCATAGAGAGCTGTTTGGACAAGACCCGAGACACAAGCTGGAAAATGCAATATATGTTCAGCAATGAGGAAGGAAAAATCGGTAAATTGTAATTGGTTCTTCTTTGTTGTAACAATGATTACCGATCCATCTAGTGAAATGATCTTCTGTGAAATAGCGATAGATCCAGTTGATGATATATAGTCCACGATATGCCCTGCAAGTTAAATCATTTACTTCAATCAGATTTTGCTTACAAACAAAATGCAAAACAAAAATAAGTTAAGTCTGTTTGTTATGCAAAATGAAAAGATCAACAATAGCATTACTGCAGGTAGTACTCATGCTATATCAACATGGAGTTCCAAAATTGGAACCCATTAAAGGCAAAGGATCAAGCAGGCGAATACGTACCCAAGAAAGAGAACATATTGTCCAGTCAAATTGTCCACGTTCCCACTTCTCTGTAGCAGAACCAACTGGGGAAGGATAGCAACTGCCTCCAAGTATATAGAAAAGGCCCAGAACACCTACAATGGTTTCAAATTCACAGCATTAGCATGTTGCACTTCAATTCTGACTATCAACACATAACAACATTGAAGCAATACTAATTCAGAATAAAGCTCGGAGTGAAGTCAGTTACAAAGATGAAAGTTTTACCAGGGGCACATATAGGACAAATGTATAGGTAAGGCTAAAGGATTTAGTGAACTATAATATAGGCGCATCTGACAAGTTATTCAAAGAACATTTTGAAAAGAAAAGTAGTGAGATGCTGATAACATAAATCCATGTGCACCTTATGGAAGCAAACTTTGTTACATGCAAATGATAACACATCAGATTAATGGAAGCAAACAAAACTCTAACAATGCATCACTTTGAGATTCAAGGGAAAACTCATAATAAGCAGCAAGATATGAGAAGTGGCACAAGCTTTAGCAACCAACTATGACAAAATTTTAAATGAAACAATAGAGACAAACTATACGTTCTACAACAGCCAAGAAAATTACAAAACCTATATCATATAAATGGAAAGATGATATAGCAAAACCAAGATCACCGTGTGATGTATAACGAATGAACCAAAAAGAAGATAACAAAACATATAAGAGCATTCTACACTACCGCATACTTTAATCTACACTACTGCATAATACTAGCTATGTCCCAGAGAATTCGTTTTCCTATTATCTACGAAACCAAAAACACACAAGCATGTGAAGATACCTCTTGTAATGTAAACTTCTCATTCAAGATAAGTGCCAGAACAAAGCAAGCTAACACAACGTATTGATGACGAAACGTGTCCAGATCCTTATCGTAAGACCTCCGCACTAACGGATGCCTACGCATACACCAAACGATAGCCAAAGAGCTAGCAATGAAGACGATCTTCATCACCGTGTTGTAGAGTGACACATAATCCGTCAAGAGATCCAAGTAACGAGTCAAGAACACAAACGCATATAGCTCCTGAGTCTTGAGAGAGATTCCTAAATCAAAAGTCAACACAGAGAACTGTTAGAATCTGCAAGCTTCTAAGCTTGAATCCGAGACTACGAATCTACCTAACGGAAGAGATCATCGATCATATAAACCTCAACAGGATTCAAACGAGATTGCATTTCTGAAACTAACTGTACACGAAAACTAACAGGTGAAAGCAATGCGATCGTTTCCGAGAAGAACTCACCGGCGCAAGATTTGGTGGCGTAGATTTTGAGGAGGAGGATTAAGATACTGATCAAGTGAGTCATATCGCCAGCGAATCTGAAGATATTCATGGTTGAACAGCAAGACGGAGGAGACGATTGGCAACAAGTTTTTCCGGGAAACCAGAAAAGAAAATATCGATCTAAAGTTCCATTGAAGCGCAGATTTGAAGCTCCGTTTCAACTGAACGTGCCACGTTTTTTCCACCTGGCTGACGTGGCGGAATTAGGAGAGAGCCAGTAAACTTGATTTGTCACGTGTTGTATATGCTTTTTCCAAAAGCAGTTAAGACCGACGCGGTTAGTTACATGGCCCGGCGTAGGGCTAGTTGTTAATGGATATGGGCCTTCGGTTTTCATTTGTTAAATGTGGAGTTTTAGCTCTCTTCCGTAGTAGTAAATATCTGTTTATGTTATCAAAGATATTTTAGATCTAAAATCACCTAAACTGTATAATAAACATCTATAAAAATACATCATATGTATGATCAAATATAAAAGTTATAGTATTTGAGTGATTATATGAAATTTATATTATTTGAGTTTCTTAGTTATGTTTTAAATGTTTATCTTTAATTATTATTAAGGGTTTTTAAGAATTTTGAGATGTTTATTAAGGAATAAAATTAAGAGAGATTTCTTTGGATAGTTTTTTTAAATTTATTTTCACTAAAAATAGTTTTTAAAAAGAAAAATGACCAATTTTTTTTTACTAAAGGATAAATATGTACTTACACTCTTGGGTTAACTAATTTATATTTAGGATTTGGAGTTAATGAGTGGATTTTAAATTTAGGGTTTCAATTTTTTTTTTTTAGAAAATAAATAAATATATAAATTTTAAATAAAAAGAGATTATGTTGATTAATTTATGTTTTTAGGTTATTTTTGTGACAAGAACTTAAATAATAACTATTTGAGAGAATTGCCCATAAATTTATATTTGGTATGATTTTTTGAATTTTTAAAATTTTAGATGTTTTTTGGATAATCGTTTAATTATAAAGTACTGTTTGGATAAAACTAATTTATATATATATATATATATATATATGTTAGTTTCAGTCGGTTTGAAATTTATGAAAGAATTACATTGAGAGACAGTTTTATGTTTTTATTAACACTATAGGGCAGTTTATTCTCCTAGGACACTTTTCTCTCACTTCTTTCATGATTTCTAACTAAATCAATTATGCACTAGTTGAATCATAACCAGTTTCACTTTATATCTTATTTTTCTATTTTACAATAACTGAATCTAAAAAAAAATTTCACTTTTTTCTTTCTTATATTTTATTTTCTTATATCTCTAATGTTTATTTGCAAATAAATTCTTTTGATTTATACTTCAGAAACATTCATTTTCCACAATAGAAAAGTGTAACCTTAATCTCTTCTATTTTCACCTCTTAACAATCCTCATTCCTTCTTCAACGAGAGTTCCGTTGTCTGTCACCTCAAACCACAAATTCTATTCCAGTATAGCTCTACTGTTGTGGTTAACAAGCTCGGGCTTAGAGTTTTGGCCACCAGATTCGTCGTTGCTTTAGTCGCATATTAAAGAGAAAGCTTCACTAGTACAACAATGGTGAACTTTTGATTATTTGCACATCTAGTCCTTTAATTCTTATTTATTCTCTAATTTGTTTTAAACTTCTTTTGTGTTTAAATTTATACACGAATTTGTCCTAAAACTTTAGTGTACAATCCAAACCAAACAAATATTCAGATTTTGAAACATTGGTTCTTGCTATTTTGTTTTATTTTCGCTTATACCTCAGATGTTTTAGTTGTATAGTTGCGTACATTCGTTAGTGTACATGTGTACATTAAAAGTTGGTGGTGTACATGTGTTAAAAGCTAAACAGAAAAAAATTAGAAATTTAAGGACCCGTGTAATCATGGAAGGTCTGATATGTACAATTAAAAAGTGAAGAATCAATTTGAAAATGATTTATTTGCAACTCAAAAACTTTTGGGGCAGAAATAAATATACTAAAAATCAAGGATCATATGTAAAATAAAACCAAAAGTGGCCATTGTTGTTCATCAAGCTTTCATCAAGCATATATATCTCATATTCGGTACAACTGACCTAAACCTAAAACATGAAAAATGATTATCAAGAACTCACCTTCGATCGGCTTTCTTCTTCCCTTGTCATTTTTTATCTCATCATCATCCCTTTAGCCAACAAATCTATCGTCAAAATTAAAATTCTCGGTGAGGAGATCCGTTAAAGAAAAAAATAAATTTACTTTAATGTTTCTTTCGGATCCACCACACAAAATAAAAGAAATTCAAAAAGAAAATCATAAAACTAAAAACAAATCTCTAACCAGCCCAACTAGGCAACTAGCATATAATGTTGTTTTACTTAAATGCCCATCTCTAGTTTCATTTTTTGGAGGATAATTTGGTATTCAACCACAGAAAAGTGTCTGTGCTTAATGTGTTCTAGAGTGTGATAAAAGACTTCAAACTGTCCCTGAGTGAAAATAACTCGAAATTTATTGGGTAGTTTGGTTTGGATAAATAGCCAAGCATGAAAATGATGTTGCACGTCACGACTCATCATCAAATATAGGACAAGTAAACTTAAACATATTTATTTTTTTCTTTGTCGTAAGTCAAATAACTGAATAAGCAATAAGGCACTACTAATGCTTCGCCGGTAGATGCCGTGGTCGGTCCGATTTTTGCTTTGAGTGTGAATTAATTTTATTTTTTTTTGGAATTAATTCGTGTGTGAATTAATTGAGCTGATATAATTGCTTAGTAGTGTAGTGTATCAATGTAAAGATTATGCTACCGTATTCATATGTGTTGTGATTCTACATTGCAAATTGTTCTGTTGATTTGGTAATTAATCACAATATGTTCTGTTGATTTGGTAATAAATCACACAATACATGACCTTTTTTTGTTTGGAGGTATCTTAGGAGTAACTCAACTAACCTAAACATTTTTCTTTTGATAATCCAGAGGTTTCTCATTTATGTGGATCATTCTTCTAATCCCAATCATGCAGCGGTTCATTTCATCCGAGAGGACTTTACTTGAGTTAGGGACAAGGTCCAATACCTAATATCGCATCTAGTGACAAGAATTGGCAGTTAACCTAAATATTTTAACATAACAAAAAAAAACTCAACTAATCTACCATAGTTTGGTTTCATGTCACGTGACTTGGTTCTGTATAAAATGCAACTACTGTATTATGATAATCTATAAAATCGCCGCTTTTTAAAATGCACCAAATCCGAAGTCACAATATAACGGATCCAGTTTGTGTTTAAGAAAATGAAGTTCGTTTATTAAATGAGATAACAGTTTCTCAATACCATATGCGTTTTTCTGCATGTAAAGATATATTATTTTAAAGTATTTATATTCAGTTATTTTAATTTTAAATTTAGTGTTTTTTGAATTTATATTTGTTGACTTAATATATTTTGTAATAACAATTAATATAATAATTATGTATCTTAAAAATGATTATAATATTCTATTTTGATATTGAAACTATAGCGTATAAGTTTTCATTTGACAATTGGATCATGATACATTATATACCTATTGAAATTTTAGTAAAAGAAAAGGCATTATATATTTATTTGATTATCATGATGTCGATGGTATATATTATAGAATAAAATAGTGGATTGTTCTAATATCAATAATGCCATATCATAATTTTTATATAATTTATAACCAGATTTAAAGTATTTTTATATAAATGCAATTGTAAATTTATGGTGTAGAAGTGGGTTAATCCAATTATTTAATTCACATTGCATCAGATTAAGAATTTTGACATTTTTAATCCATATTTATTTTTATATGTTGAAGAATATAATCACATTGTTTTATATGTATATGAATACAACTATATATAGTATATGCGCAGACCTGTATATGTGAATGTTAAAGATATTTCTTATTTAACATAACTTCAGATCAAGGGTGGTGCATTTGAAACAAAACTGTGGCAACGGAATAAAATTACGAGCTGAAATTCAACTTTAACTTTCGAGCCTTTTTCTTGCCGAACTAAGATTTGACCCAAAGAGATCCAAATAACTTCATAGACGATGGAATTTGGTCCTAATGAAGATTCATATAATGAGTATTTTAAATCTTGCAAACACAACCGAATCACACGTTTTTTACATTGGAATGTTTAATTTTTAACTAGTAAATAGATAAACGTTTAAATAAAACATCGTTAGAATTTTTGATTTTGCTTTTCTGTATGTTGCTAATAGAATGTAAAATATAAACACTGACCATTTTCATATTCAGTTGAGTTAAGTATTTTTTTGTGTATTTAAAATTTAAAATATAAGCGAATATTCAAAAATAGATAGATAGTTGGTGATTTTTTACTAAAACAAGATCGTGAATTTGTATGTTTTTTTGGTTGACCAAAATAAATTGATGTATCTTTCTTCAGATGTTGGCCGGCTTAATTTTATTCGCATCTTCATGAGGAATCAAGTGCTCTCATTCAATGGGAAGAGGTTCTTTAAAAGAAAAAGCTAAGGTAGGGGGATTCAACCAATTAAATGGCTTATGCTGTTGACGATATTCTATAGTATACGTTTTTGACTTCTTGTCAATATATTTTGTGTTAATTAAAATCACCAAATTAAGTATCCTTTTTAATAATACAGTTATTATTAAGAGATTAGTCAAGAATTAGATGCTGTGTATTGATTATATGTAGATGTACAAGTTCTTTGACCTAAGATTATTACCAGTCTGGTCCAACAAAATTAAAGAAGGGGTTAATTATTCATTTGTATGCAATCCAATATCTCCCGACAAAATAATACAAAGAAAATACTACAAGATAAACTCTTAAATATTTTGCAGATGGCATTAACTATATGTCAGAATGAATAACAGTAATCAACTTAATTTTTGTATTTCTCCAACGCAATAATCCACTAATCCAAGGGTTTTCATTATTTTTTACTATTATTTGTTTTTGAAGTTGTAAAAAACAGAAAATCGAGTGGACAGAAAATGGACTCTTCAATCAATCAATCTATCCGTTACATTCCACCAGAGCATTGACTTTACTGAAAAAACCTTTCGCTGGAAAAAAAGTTTCCTCTCATCAGAGAGAGAGAGAAACAAAACAAAACAAATCTCTGACAACTAATAAAAATTAATAAAAAAGAAAATTCTCAAACCTTTTCTTTTTCTTTCTCTCTGACGCGTTCTTCTTCTTCTCCATCTCATCTCTTTCCCAGAAAGTATCATTGAAACCCCTTTTTCACTTTCTTCTCCTCTGACTTTCTTTTCCGTATCCATAGTTTTCAATTAGATTCTTCTTCGTATATACATAAATCTCTCTGGATTATTTTCGATCCAAGACCGAATATGGCTACGGCAGCGATATTCTCATCTCTACGACGGAGAAGATCACCGTCCTTAGAAGCCTTCTTATCCCCCGTTGACCTCTCCGGCCTCCCTCTCATCCAAACCCTCTCCTCAATCTCCAAAGAAGTCATCTCTTCCTTCAGCACCACACGATTCACCTTCCAACGCAGAAACGCTCGCTCTCTAATCCGTAAGATCGAGATCTTCCTTATATTATTCGAATCCCTAACCGAATCACCTTGGACCTCCTCTTCTTCTTCTTCGTCTTCTACAGCTTTACTGTGTCTCAAGGAGCTTTACCTCCTCCTCTACAGATCCAAGATCCTCCTCGATTACTGCGCACATTCGAGCAAGTTATGGCTGATCCTCCAAACTCCATCGATCTCCGGATACTTCCACGATCTCAACCAAGAGATCTCCACTCTCCTCGACGTCTTCCCGTTAAACGATCTCAACAACCACCTCACGGAAGACGTCAGAGAACAAATCGAATTACTCCGAATCCAATCGAGGAGGTCGAGATTGTACATCGACGAAAACGACGAGTCGTTACGCGTCGCGTTCTATAAGTTTCTCAACGGATTCGAAAACGGAGAGATACCTAACAAACTTTCTTTAAAAACGTTCTTCGTAGAGAAATTAGGGATTAAAGATTCGAAATCTTGCGGGAACGAAATCGAGTTTTTAGAGGAACAGATTGTGAACCACGACGGGGATGTAGAGCCTACAGGCTCTGTTATCAACGGGTTTGTAGCCATCACGAGATACTGTAGATTCTTGTTGTTTGGATTCGAAGAAGAGTGGAGGATCAAGAAGAACAAAAAACCTACCAAAGGAGAAGGATTCATAACGGTTCCGAAGGATTTCGTTTGTCCAATCTCTCTAGATTTGATGACTGATCCTGTGATTATATCCACAGGGCAGACTTATGATCGTACCTCTATAGCTAGGTGGATAGAAGAAGGGCACTGTACATGTCCCAAGACGGGGCAAATGCTCGTAGACTCTCGTATCGTGCCTAACAAAGCTTTGAGGAATCTGATAGTGCAGTGGTGTGGAGCGAGTGGGGTGTCTTGTGAGTCTGAGTTTGTTGTTACAGATTCGTCGACTACAAACGAGGGGTTTGTGTCGGGTCTTCCGACAAAAGCTGCGGTTGAGGCGAATAAAGCTACTGTTTCGATACTTATTGAGTATCTAGCGGGTGGGTCTGAAGCGGCTCAGACTGTTGCGGCGAGGGAGATTCGTTTGCTGGCGAAGACGGGGAAGGAGAATCGGGAGTTTATTGCGGAGGCGGGGGCGATACCGCATTTGCGGAGGCTTCTTAAGTCGGAGAATGGTGTCGCGCAGGAGAATTCTGTGACGGCGATGCTTAACTTGTCGATATATGAGAAGAACAAGGGTAGGATCATGGAGGAGGAGGATTGTTTGGAGTGTATAGTGAGCGTTCTTGTCTCGGGTCTCACTGTGGAGGCGCAGGAGAACGCGGCGGCCACGTTGTTTAGTCTCTCTGCTGTGCATGAGTATAAGAAACGGATAGCGATGGCTGATCAGTGCGTTGAGGCATTAGCGTCTCTGCTTCAGAACGGAACACCGAGAGGGAAGAAAGACGCGGTGACGGCGTTGTATAACTTATCGACACATCCTGATAACTGCAGTAGGATGATCGAAGGTGGAGGAGTGACGAGTCTCGTTGGAGCTCTCAAGAACGAAGGTGTGGCAGAGGAGGCGGCAGGAGCTTTGGCTTTGTTGGTGAGACAGTCTCTTGGAGCTGAGGCTATAGGGAAAGAGGAGTCCGCTGTGACGGGGCTCATGGGGATGATGAGATGCGGAACGCCTAGAGGGAAAGAAAACGCGGTGGCTGCTTTGCTTGAACTATGTAGAAGAGGTGGAGCGGCTGTGGCGGAGAGAGTGTTGAGAGCACCTGCGATTGCGGGAGTGCTGCAAACGCTTTTGTTTACTGGGACGAAGCGGGCTAGAAGGAAAGCAGCTTCGCTTGCTCGGGTTTTCCATAGGCGTGAGCTTGCGGCTATGAGGTCGTCAGATGGTTTTGGGGTTGTAGGGGATGTGAATGGGAATAGAGACGACGGCAGTTTTACGACGGATGTCTCTGTTCCGATGTCAATATCCATCTCCGTACCTGTTTTGTGATCTATTATGTTTAGTAGGTAAAAGGTTACAGAAAAAAGAAAATCTCAAGAGGGAAAACGTTCTCTTTTGGCGGTGGTTTGGTGGTGTTTGTCAATATTATAATACATTTATTGGTTGGGAGGTATAACACAAAATAAAATTTAAGAAAAAATATGTATGTTTGTCTTCCAGGGAAACATAATTGAGAGAACAACAAGAGTTTAGTGTAATACTTTTATGTGTATTGTATTTGTTATGTGAGCTATAAGACCTATTGCATTGTGATGGTAACTGATAAGGAAGGGAATTTCGTTTTTCTTACTTTTAATTATTTGAAATATTAAAAAAAACAAATAGAAGATAAGATTTGCTTGCAAGGTAAAGAAACAAGAACATTATGCATACACATTCACATGATAGATAAGATCATTCTATTAATTTGTAATGTGTAAAGATTAATCTTAGACTAGATGATTACCTGCGCGGGGTGAGTTTCTGATACAAATGTTTGTTTATACTATGTGCTTTAACGTTTTGTGATAATACAGTGTTTATTTATTATATCAAAACTGGTCTTAGTCAAAAATGTATATATCAAAACTGGTGCATCAACTAAGTGGCTAAAAAATGGCATTTGTTGTAGAGAGTTTATGTTATACAGCCCATTATAATGGCTTTTGGCCACACAAAGAACCAAATCGGATACGAAACATCCATGACGTCAATGACGAAAGGGGATTAGGTTTCCTCTTTATGATTTGTATACGATTGACCATCCATCCATAGGTGATTTCATTCAATTATATAATATTTATTGTAATTCAATTCTAATTCAACGTGTTAACACATAGATATAAAACGAAGACATGGCAGGTTTCAGAGGTTCTTAAAATCCTTACACGTATTAACCCGTTGAAGAAGTCACTACCATAGCTCACATCAAGATGCCCTAATCCCACAAGCGTACGGAAGCATGGATTCCAAATATAGTTTACCTCTCTCGTCTCGACCAAGATTAATTTTTACTAAGTATTTTAAAAATAAGAAACTATAATAAAACGCTTATATACAAATCAAAAGAATATCAGCATATACGTTTTTAATTTACTACATAATTAATCATAACTAACTATGATGAAATGAAGTATCAAAAATGTGCCATATGCCACTGATGGTATCCCTTTCTTTTTATTAAACCGATTACTTTCTTTTAGATCTAAATAACTCACATTATTTAAGAATTCAATTTGTAGTGAAATCAACTGTTGAGTTATAAGTCAAAAGGTAAAAGATAAACACCAGCTTCAAAATCATGTTAAGAACTAGTAAATAAGAGGCAGATAATCAAACGTTCAAACACTTTGGACAAGAAACAAAAGAAAGAAAAGGTTGACCTTTTTTTTTTTAATAAGTTTGCATCGATGAAATCAGAATTGCCTGTTACCTAAGTTAACAGAGTAGACAAAAAGATGATGATTATATAACATACATTCAGAACATATCCATGCCTCAGCCACATAAAACCACTCTATAACCGAAAGAAGAACACAGTCTTTCTTCATTTAGTAAGAGTTTTGCCACATCTGCTGGGTTTGATCCGAGGGCTGCTGACCAACCTGAACCCCCGCACCATCTCTAGGGTTTTGCTGCTGGCGCTCGAGCGACATTTCTGTTTGGGACTGATAGAAATTAGGGTAGCCATGTGATCCATAACGCTGTTGTTGTTGTTGTTGCTGAGCTTGACGATACCCTCCTGCCGCTGCTTGCTGAGTCTGTTGTAGTTGCTGTTGTTGTGCTTGGAGGTTGTAGTATGTGTTACCCGGGACACCTGACATGGTCCGAGAGCCATGACCGTGATGCCACATTGCCGAGTTTTCATTCTGAATGTTTAAAGCACGACAAAACAAAATGTCATTAACTGGTTCTTGTCTGAAGGTGACCATAGAGAGACAATTATTACCTGTTGCTGCTGCTGATGTTGAAGTGCTAAGAGATGATTACTCTCTTTGTATTGAGAACTCAGAACATCTTCATAACCGGTAGGAGCAGACTGTTGATTAAGAGGGAAGTTTCCAGCAGATCCAACGTTGGTGGAGTTTCCAAATCCATAAGCGGACGCAGGCGCTGTTGCAGACTGAGGCAAATTACTGGGAGAGAGATTGGCTTTGTACTGAGGAAGCAACGCAGCAGCTAGTTGCTGGTGATATGAGCTGTTACCAGCATAGGCTTGCTGGAAAGCGGATGGCATGTAGGGATAGTTCTGAGGCATTAGAGGATAACTAATCATGTTTGCAAAGTGTGCTAGCGGCATTGTTGGTTGAGAGTAAGGATGCATTGGAAGCTGTTGAGGAAGTGCTGGTCCAGTGGCTATATTAGCAGCACCTTGTAAGTTTTGCTGCGTCGTTGGGATTCCACTGCCTCGAAGCGCCTACAATGTAAGAAAATATATAATCAATAATCAAAAAATCATACATAGTATAGATTTGGATAACAATAGATTACTCATGGTTAAGTTTTGAGCTAAATTACAGCCTACAGATAAGCAAACATAACATTATTCATTTGACGATTAACAAGACTTCACTACTACTTACTTCTACTAGAGAAAGCTAAACAAAAGGCATCTCGAGGTTACCTCTGGCATGGAAATGCTTTGGCCACCAAGTGAAGAAGCAGTGTTGCTATTTCTTGACTGCATAGACTGTGCAAAAGCGGAATACTGTAATTCAAGCTCCCTCTGTGCTGTTTGTGCCAATAGGCTGTTAGGATCTGAGTGTGGGTATCCCTGCTGAGTCAAAAACACAAACAAGTACCAATGTTAGCAACGCCATGGGCATTACTAGCCGCGTATAACTTAAAAATATGAACAGTCTGAAAGCATGATTCAGAAAGCAGACGAGATTCGCTTAAAAGCTAACATAAATAATGCACATGTAGCTTACCATCACATTTGATAACGAAGCAAGATTCTGCATTTGATTCTGAGCATTTGTCTGTGACGCATCATATGCAGTATTCAGCTGCTGCTGCTTAGCATACTCTGGCTCGGACTGAGCAAATGTGTACTGGTTCTCTTGAACACCCTCAGGGTTTTCTTGCTTCAGAACCTCTCGCCTAGATTCCAAAGAATCATCATAATTTCCAGCTGCAGGTGCGTGGCCCATACTTCCATTAACTGTACTTCCAAGACGTTCATCTCCATAGAACTCAGTATTTCTGCAAAACAAGCATTGATCAGTTTAGTATAAACGAAACCTATACGGAAAAAGGAATCATCAGTGATGGAATACCTAGCATCTGAATGTTCCATCTGTGCCTGTGGAGCTACATCAGGAGTCTCTTCTACATTTTTGCTCAAAGGCCTTGACCCAAAACCTCCAAAGCTTCCAAAACTTAATTCCGAGCACTCTTCTGTATGGATTAGCAAATGTTTTGGAATAACAACAGCACGTCTATCCTCTTCATGCGAGGCTTCTTGGTCATGACTATCTACGGTTCGTTGTTGAAAGTCGGCTGAACCAGATGAAACCTCATCTTCTTCTGAGAAGTAATAATGAGCCAGAATAAGATACAATCAAGAACACCAAAAAATGTACTCTCTTATGCTACTGATCATGACTATATGTACTCAGTACTCACATATCAATAAACACAAGCCCGCCCAAATATGGAAGAGAAAAAACATATTTTGATCATAATGACACACGCTACCAAGTAGCAACCATTGCGACTTAACTGATGTAGAGCATATTTTCATTCACAACATAAACATAGAGAGTGCTCACAGAGGCATCAATAGAAAAAATAAACACATACACCGAACTTCGCATCCAAGAAAAGCAAAGCAATAAGAAATACCTTTGTGGTGTTCCACAGGATGGCTCTGCGTCTCATATGTGTACTGATTATCATTAGCTTCAGACGAAACTCCTGAGTCTTCTTCTTGGACATTTCCAACAGAGCCAGGTTGCACATGATCCACTCCAAGATCTTTAGAAGGGCCACTTCCTGCTAAATGTATATTTTCTAAACGGTCCCTCAGATGTTGTTGATCTACTCTCTCAGATTGAAAATCAGCTGTACCACCGCATACCTCTGACTCTGCTGGTGCTACTGATACAGAAGCTGTGCTCGGAGGAGCCAGTGGCTTCTCAATCGTCGGCCATTCATCTTTAACAGGGACCTGATGATTTGCATTAGCTTCATGCTCGTGATTAATCTCAGAACGCATATTGACATTACGTTGTGAGTTTGTTGTCGTCTTGTTCTGTGGTCTACCCATCTTTACAATGTCAGCCATAGATCTCTGGCCTGGAGCTCCAAACCATGGAGTTTGATGATATCCAGAAGCAGGCTGTGATGCTGATATACCATCGCTCGAGACAGCAGGTGGTGGCAATTTATTTTCCGTGACAACAGAATCACTGCAAAACATATGCAGCTTAGGTCAGAAAGCTGAATTGAGAATTACTACTAAATGGGATTCAACCAATACAATCTGTAACTTCCAATGATTTTTTTTTTCTTACAATTTGCATCCAAATTCACAACTACAGAAGAAAGAAACTACTCAGGGGAAAACCTTTGTGGTGTCTGATGGTGGTTTGCCACTCCAGATGCAGAAGACCAAGAGCTTGTGTAACCCTGAGTCCCACTTTCTTTCTTGTTTGTAGATTTTCCCTGGAAGTTTCCAGAATCTGAACAACAGATACACATAAGAACAAAGACTATATTTATAAACTATATAAATCTTATGTATCCAAGAAATCATGTCTATACCAGTAGAGTTGAAATGGGTAGATCCACTTCGTCCAGCATAACGATCAGAACCACCTCTCCCACCACGGTTGTATGTGTTATTACCACCACGCATCCGGGAATCCGGTACATCCCTTGTCTGAATAGCATAAAATATCAAAAACTCCTAATTAACCAAAAATGATAACCACTATAGCTAAAACTAGAATTCAATTTGATTTCATCAGAACACGACAGCTAGTAACAAAACATACATTTGAAGTAAGTAAGTAGACATCAGGCATGAAAACACATTTAGTAAATAACAAAAGACAATCCCTAAGTCTATTTGCCATAAGAAGAAGAGTGTCAGGATTGAACTCACCTCTTTCTTCTTTTCCTTTTTGCTCTTTACCTCGTGAAAAGGATCTGATTAGAGTAAAAAAAAAAACAAGACTCAGTATCATTAATAATAGACCCCAACTGCAACAAAAGATAAAGCCTTTGAAACTAAAAAGTTCTCAACTTGTAACAAAACAAAGACCACTCACTACTTGATAGTTTCAGCTATAGCTTTTGCATAAAGACAAAAACTTTAGTCTATCACTATCAAAACCCTAAAAGAAAACCCTAAAAAAACAATCCAATTTTCTTAAAAGAAATCTTCATAAAAAGCCGAACCTTGAGAGAGGAGGCGATTAACGGCTTCGTTAGGATCCATATTACACTCTTTAAGCATAGCGTAGATCTCAGCCTCGGGGGCGTTCACGATTTCCTTCAAGCTCTGTACTATTTTCCTAGACCCTGTCGGAATCTCATTATTATTGCCTTTTCTCCCTCCCGTGACCTTGCCGCCGCTGCTCATCTTATCCGCCGTATTAAAGCTGCCTCTCGGATCTGGATTATATGGACGCTCTCTCTCTCTCTGTGTCTGAGTCAGTCGCGAGGATACGAACAAAGAGAGAAGGAAAAAGAGAGGAAGCAGAAGGGGAAGAAGATATATATAATCTGTTCAACGAAGGAAACCCTCTTTGAGTTTTTTCGTTTCTTTTTTTCTTTTTTCAAAATTGTAAAATTACTAAACCGTGTTTAATTACGGTTCTTTCGTTTGAACCCGGTGTATCTAAACCGGACTGCGATTACTGAAACTTTAGACCCACCTATTATACTATTTAGGCCCCAACCGTCTAAGCCCATTGCATTGTTACTGCAACATTTGTTTTGTTTTTTTTGTATGTAGTTGTTTCTTGTATGTAGCTTTCTTGTATGTAGTTGTTACATACAACGTCTCTGGCAGATTACATAATGCATGCATGTGTACATGCCCTTCTTTGTGATAAAGTTATAATTTGCACAGGAACCGTGTTTATGTACCAAAATTTCAGTTGACTATGCTTGCAAATTTTATCCACTTGCTAACAATACAGATTCACCAGCTACTTCCTTTTTTTTTTTACACCAGTCCATCTAGTTCTATTTTTGTTAAACAACACGATTTTTTCTGTTTTTTTACTTGATCAATACGAAATATATTCAAAATTATCAACCAAAAAGAAATTGAACTAAACAAGATAAGAATCGAATTGACATGATGTGGAATTAAATTGTTTCCTATGAAAGAGGAAGACTACTAATTTGGATTATAACATAGGGAAAAAGCTAGCTAGACATGTGTTTTAAATATATCTGGATTTGACATTTTTAGTTTAAAAAAAAAAAAAAAACTAGGCATATGAACTTTTACAATAAAGAAAACAAACTGTATTGCAAAAAAAAAAATTTATAAAAAAACAAATGAGCGAAAAGAAGCACTAGTTTACAAGAGAAGATACAGTTAAAGAGAGATAATTGCAACTGGGCTGAATAAGCAGATATTCCTTATGTTTCATGGGAAACACTTTAGCTTTTCGTTATTTTAACTTACAGTACAGGTTCTCTCTGTTGTTGTTCGATTTATAGTACAACAACAGTTAAAAGGTGACCTCTCCTAGCTTTAAAACAAAACATTCTCCAAGAATGCTCTACATATTGGAGTTGATTCAAAAAGTTTACACATATAAACACTGATTATGCTCACTTCTAGTGTGAACCTATGACAATATTTGTATTCCTTTGTCATTATAGTCATCATATTTTGAGACTCAAGACACAAATTAAATTATATAACATAGTTTTTTTTTACAAGGACTGGATCTTCTTATATTGTGTCCATGTACTACTATATAAGTTTATCTGTAAATACCTTTTCCTCTTTATGATGTTTTCTCTTTGCTTGCCGATCCTAGCTTCCTCCTAGTTTCTCCTTTCTCAAGTTTTCTTATATTCTCTCAAACATGTCTTCGCGTCCCCTCTCTCTCCCATCCCAAGAAATCTTTGATTCTATGATTCTCCTTTTGTCTTTCACCTCTGTATAAATATTATATATCTACACCTGAGAGGGAACTTCTTCGCAACCATTCTATCTTTCTTCTACCATATCCACCTGACAAGTCCCTATCTCTCTCAAGATATTCAAGGAACACAAGGAAGAAATGGCTCACATTGTAGCTCCTCGATGTTTGCAGATCATGCTTCTATGTCTTCTTATCACTTCACGTAATCTCTCTAACGTCTGATACAACATTAGAATCGTTAATAAGCTGCTCTATTTTTATGAAAGGATGAACTGACCTGTTTTTTTCTTTGTTTATGATGATTGGTTTGGTTTCAGCTCTAGATGTTATAGCTCAGGGAGGACAAGGTGATATACCAGTTGTTAATCCTACTTCTCCAGGTGGTGATACCACTACACCAACCATAACCCAACCATCACCACCTTCCTCAACATTCCCAGGTCCAATCACAAACCCAAATCCACCAAGCGGTGGCTATCCACCGCTTGATGGTACAACACCAACCGGGGGTGGTTATCCACCCCTTGGTGGTACCACACCACCCGTTGGTGGCGGCTATCCACCACTTGATGGTACAACACCAACAGGTGGTGGTGCACCTGGTGGAGGTGGAGGTGGTGACACTGGTCCAGGTGCTCCTGGTGGAGGCGGAGGTGGTGACACTGGTGCAGGTGGCGGTGGTGGTGCTGCACCTGGTGGAGGAGGTGGTGGTGACACTAGTGGAGGTGGCGGTGGTGGTGGTGGTAGTGGTGGTAGTGGTCAATGGTGTATAGCAAAAGCCAATGCTTCGCCAACATCATTACAGGTGGCTTTAGATTACGCTTGTGGGTATGGAGGAGCAGATTGTGGCCAGATCCAACAAGGTGCAAGTTGTTACCAGCCAAACACTATCCATGATCATGCTTCATTTGCTTTCAATAGTTATTACCAAAAGCATCCTGGTTCCGACAGCTGCAATTTTGGAGGGGCTGCACAACTTACCAGCACAGATCCAAGTAAAGACACTTTTAACTTTTATCTTACCTATCAAAGACTTATCATAGGAGCCAGGACACTAGAATTAAGTTACCTGCTTACTAGCTTCCATGAACGGTGTGAGCTACTTGAGACCTTCACAACTGATAGATGTTTTTGAGTATTAGAATTGATCATGAACCTAGGAACACTATCCCAAACATATGATTCCAATGGGTTACAGAGCTTGATAACAACTAGAGTTTTCACTTTTTTCTGCTAAATATAAATCTTAGTCTGGTACTCAAATCTGCTCTTGTATTGCTCCAGGTAAAGGAAGCTGTCGCTTCTCAGCATCATCAGGAACAGTTAGGTATGTTTTTCTTCCCACTAAATTAACGTCTTAACCTGCCAAAGAAAATAATACTAATTTCTCTATTCCAAATGCAGCACAAGCCCACCAAGTCAACCGAGTCCACCAGATTTTAATTCACCACCTTCTACTTCTACATTCCCACCGCCAATAACAACTCCACCAACTACAGGCATACCTGGTTCTGGACCACCCTTCGGCGTAGCAGAGCCAACAGGGCTTCCAAGCTCAGCAACTCATGTGTCACATAGCTTCCTGTCAATATTTACAGCAGTTGTGACACTAGTGCCACTGCTCAGGCAATATTATCTTTAAAACAGATAAAGGGTCTCAGGGTCAATTTCAATCATTCTCTGCAAATTACGAAGCCGTGATCAGCAAGAAGATTTATAGTCCAAGACCTTTACTCTCATCATCATCTGTTCTATTGCTATAGTTCATAAATTTATATTTATTTAGTAGGAGATATTACAAAAATCAAAGGGGCTTAGATTATTATTATTATAAAACATTCTTGTAGACACGTTGAGAGTAATGTATCTTTACACAGTTTTAGAGAATAAAAAAAATACTTTAGAGACATCGGAGCAGCATAAAACAGATCATCTATAGATACTCTGCAAATATTCAGACAAAAAAAAAGATTAAATCAAATCCACTGTTTGAGAAATTGGGATCACGCGTTTCTCTGTCTCTCCATATACCTTTGAAGCAAACATCACTCCTCCTGTGACCAGCACCGGAGGAGAGAGTCAATACGATTTAAGGGAAGAGAGACAATCCGGGACGATGAGATACAGAGACGGTGGTGGAAGATGACGGAGTGATCTTTCCGTTAAATTGTATGTAGTTGGTTGCCACTTGGACTTGGTTTTCGCGCGAATGCTTTACAATCCTGAAATAGTATACTGATTGGGCCTAGTTTAAACCCATAATTTAGAAAAGCAGGCCCATATGTAAAGCGGCGACAAATAATGAGTGGGAGAGACAAAACCCTAAGAAACTAAGCAGTCTTCTGCTTCTATATAAAGCTAAAACCTTTTCAATCTCTCCAAATTACAGACGGCTTCACAACTTTAAATTTTTATTGTATTTCTTCTAGGTAGGAACCTTAGCTAGTTATGTAGTAAGATACTCCTCTTTTAGTTGATTTTAGTTGCTTGGTTTTGATGAAAGTGATGATATGTAATTGTCGCCCCAGTCTTACTTAAAACATGGTGATTGACTATTTCTGTCTGATTCTCTTAGATTTCCATCTTGTTATGTTAGCTAGTTATTATGTCTTATGATCGTAATATATGGATGTGATGAAATGGCATAAATGTTTTGTGACACCCAGTCTGATCTGCTTCTGCAGAGTGAGTGATTTGCCATATTCTCTGATCCTTTCATCTATTGATACAATCACGTTTTGTAAAGTTCTGTTTGTTCTTTTTATAGTTTTTGTGTATTTTGAAATTATGAGGAATGAGGATTATATTTACCATACGTCTGCAAATCTGAATTACAGTGTTGATTCATAGACATGCACTACCATCTGACCTCTATTTCATAAATATTTTATTAGTTATTGGTTTTAAATTTGTTCTTTTTTTTGTTTCTCTAATGCAATCAATGATGAATAAAATCGTCCATATTTAATGATAATGCCGTGATTATTCAAACCAAGATCACCATCTTTCGGCTGAGATTGCAAGTTTTTACTTTTTAATTCTTGTTTTTTTTGTAATTTTATAATAGAGTCTCTATGGTATCTGATATCGAAACTCTTAAAATGTGTAAACAACAGAATCAGGTAAAAAGGTAAAATCTTTTTAAATTATGTATGTTTTGAATTTAAACAGATCTCAAAAGCTACTCGTTACTTTTTAATCTGTTTATATTCAACTATATCTGTGTTTTGGTTCTCACATTTTCTTCTTGCAGGAACGTTTAAGAAGAAATTGTTTATTAATTGCTTAATTATTGTATGACAGTTAGTAAAGCTATGTTAAATGTTCTGTATTTTGCTAGCCTTTTTTTTTTTTTTTTT